CCTTGGGCATAACCAATGGTAGCAACAGCAAATTTCTGACTCAAGGCAAAATGTGTTAGTTCTTATAAAAAGGCTTCGATTAAGTTTATGATCTGATTTGTAGATGAGACATCTAACACAATTATATTCTGATGAACTCACATGTCGGAAACAAGCCATCTTTTCTTCTACCACGTTGTTTTGTCATGACATCCAGTGTCTGTCTTGGAAATAAGTTTGCTCTTCTGTAGTTATTTTCTTCTGAAGATACCAGAATGACTTACAAACTTCACTTATTCAAACATTACAAATGGAAATAAAACTGCTTCTGGTGTGAAACTCAGAACTCACTAAAATGGAATCAGGCAGGAAAATTATTCCCCAGTGGAAACAGAAATAGCAGTTAGGAGATATAGTCTTGACATACTTTTACACAAAGTGGTCAAGACCTCAATTTCACATTTTGCATTATGATTCACATTCAATAGCTTATTACCCCAAGTAGTTCCCTGTATCTTTAATTTAATGATAACCAAATACCAAAATGATGCTCCTGGAATAACCAGTACTATTTTGTACAGCATATTTCTTTACCCATTTAGAATGCTTGATATGATTACAGTAGAAAGTGATATAACAAAGTGTTATTATATTGTGAAGGAAATCAAATCAAATTAACACCAATTTAATTTTCAATATGTGTCCACAATAAACTCTTAGAGTGAGTTAGCTCCACTAATTTAATGCCTAATTCAGATTAATTTCTGGTGATCCTGTAGATAAGCTTTTATTCAATAACAGTTGATTGACAGTCTTCTCACATTGCAGAAAGTGTTTCAATAACAATTTAGAAACAGGGAAGATGTTCATTACAAATGTGACAGTTTGGTTATGTTTATGGTAAAGGTTAGGGAAGAATTGTTTTTGTTATTGATTAAAAAACCCACAGAAATTCTTATTTAAATGAATTCTAATTTAATTAATAAATAATTCTTATTTAAAAGTCAAAGTGAAAAGATACAGCTTTCTTAGAATTCTTCTCTGAACACAGAAAATGAGTTTGCCAAATATATGTGTTGAACCTGCAGCTTTGGAAAAAAAAAGTCTCAGCCAAAAAAAACAACAATGTGCAGGTCCAGGTTGTGAAAGCAGTGCCCATAAGAATGAGCAAAAGCTTGTACCTGCTACCTGCTTAATCTATTAACTGGATAGTTTAACTATGAAGTAGCAACAAGAGGATTATGCCCAGATTACTTTAAACCAATACTAAGTTCAAAAGTCATGGGCAATACAGAAGGAAGTGGATGAATTATATCAAAAGCTTCTTGGACTTTGAATAAGAAAAAGGCAGGAACTGAATGTATCAGCATGCAAAGCTTTGAAGTATGGTCAAGTCAGAGAGTAATAATTTTGTAATTTTAAACAATTTTGTTTTCCATTAAGGGGAACTTTCATCTTTTATCCACTCTGAAACAAGCTGTTTGTATCACAGTATCAGGCATTGCCCTTTTAGAAATGAAATTTTATCTGTCAGATATGACTTGGAATATTAGTATCTACCCACATTCTCACACCCCATACATACTGGCATTCTCAAAAGGATTTTATGTAGAAAATATTTTAAGCCACGCTTACACAGAACAAAGCAAAAATCAACTTGTATCTGTTCTGTGTATAACATGGACTGATCTTAATGTTACTTTGAAAAACATCCATCACTTCCACATACTGCTTTCTCTGGACTTGCTGCAAACTCTTCTCTAGCAAAACCAACAAATACAGACTATTGCTATCCAAAATCACATGGATCATAACATGTTGTGTCTAATGGACAAAGATATCCTGCGTTGAAAGGCTAAATTGGCATACTTCCATAGGCTGGTTTGGGTAAATCCTTGTATTCATCATGCTTTGCTATTAACATCTTTTAAGTTTTCTGTCCACTCAGCATTTTATATTTAATATTAAGAGACCTGAAGTAATTTACTTACACTTGTCTCCAAAAAGGCATGGTAAAGGGACTAAGTTGAAGATGGAGTTAAAAACAAACCAGGTACCTTTCATTTGCTATTCACCAGCATTTCTATTTAAGAGGTCTTTGCTGTATTTCAAAAAGGCAGTACTCTTGCAAGAATGTACAAAAAGACAACTTCACCTTCCTGCTTTTCTAAAATGTTTTCCCAAGGCAGCTGAAGGAAACCAGTAAAGATAGAAATATAATTGTTTTGATTTCAATAAAAGTAACCCATTTCACCTCTCAGGTCAGGTGTTACGGTGTGATAATGGCATTTAGATGCAGAATCATTTGTAAAGCAACAAGCATGTTTATAGTCTAAGGAACAGTGGTCCATCTCTTTAGCTGGCATAAATCAGCATAGTTTCACTGAAGCAAATGGAGTAACTCTGATTTACATAAGCCTAAGACATGGCTCTTTATTTCTCAGAACTACATTTTGTAATATCCTGAGGATACACTTTGAAATAAATAAATAAATAAATAATTCAGAGCCGTGTTATTCACCTGGCAAACTTGGCTTACATTGTTGAGCTAACACTTGAGCATACCCCTTACAGTAGGCAGGCACTGTCAGCTCACAATTTCACAGCAATATCAACAAATCTTCAGTTTGACTCAAGAATATTATGGAAACCATTTTCCCACCCCACATCTCTTATTGTGGAAGAAAATCAAATTGATACTTAACACAACAGTTTCTTACAAAGAAATTGGCCATTAGATTGACATCTCATGCTTGCAGAGAGCATGAGACTCAAAATCCTACTGTAATTAGTGTTTGACGAAGATGGAACACCCAAAGCAAGGCAAAAGTAAAGGAAAATAGAAGAGCTGTGCTACAAATAAAACTCGTTTATGCTGGTTATCAAGTGTTATAATTTAACAATACAAAAACTTTCTATACTAAACACCAGGATGTATGTGGGAGCCCTTGGTAATTCCCCTCAGGCCCTCTTGTATCCCATACTTTAAATTAAGGAGAGAGAAAAAATACATTGGTTTAAATTTTACAACAATTTTGGCCTGAAGCAAACTGCACATTTTCCCCAACACAAATCAGCTGCATTTAATTCCCCAGACAGCTGGCATGAACACAGCCTCTCCACAGGACACCTGAATTACGAAATTAGCACATTCAGAACTCTAAATCACATTCCATTACACTAAGCCCTAAGGTCCGACATTACAGAGAAGGAGAATAAATTGCAGAACTTCTCCTGAATTAACCCTCTTAGCACACTCTCAAAGTTAAATTGCCCTTTCCTCCCCTTTAAAGAGACATAGAAACTTAAACACTCCCTCCTGCCCTTTCTTATCTATTTCTCTCTTACCAAGTGGCACAGTTTATGGGACATAAATTGAACATCTTGTCAGAAACTCACATTTGTAAATTAGCCCATCACTATCAGTTTTGACTCGCTTAGGAAATTCGAAAGTTAATGTTTGTGCCTGGTCCTTCAGACAACACTGACCCATCTACTTCTCTTTTGCAGAGCACTTTATTGCATTACAATGGCACTCCTGGTTAAAAGAATCCCATAGCAATTGGGTTTTCTTTTGTGCAAGTTGCTGCCAACAAAGCAGTAATTCCTGGGAGAAGTGATGCAAGTTTGAGAGACTTTTACTTGCAGCTGTACAGCACTGACCTGATCTAATAAATACAAATTTCCCATTCTTGCTATGTTATGATTATGCTATCATTCTGTTGCAATTAGTATGAATTAAAGACCAGTGTTTCACAAGCTCAGTTTTTAAGCCAATATATGTGGACAATTAAAAAGATAATGAAATATTAACAGCAGGCCTTCAAGGAGGAAGAATACAATCAGAAAAAAAAAGGCAGTTGTGCTTTTGAACTAGCAAAGTATTATATTTGAAAAAAAAAATAGTTTCCAAGTTTTAGAGATTCTATTTAACATTAACTACTGAATACCAGTGCAAAGCTAAAGTATCTCAAACAGCTATAAAAATGTGTGTATTTCCTCTACACATGCATTCCAGTGTGTGGAATTTGGTGCTTTCCACTGTACACCTCACAGCATCTCCTGGCCAGTTCTGCACATCTGGGGTAGCCAAGCTGCATTCAAGGTCTCAATGCATTCATAAGTTTGAATGTGCCTTGAGCTGAAAGTGTAATCAAGATTCTCTGGTGTTTACAGGGAAGTTCCATCATTTGTCCATTCCTTGCTTCCAATGACCTCATTTTGCAGTTTGATAAGAAAGGGACTGAGTTGAATCATTACTGGCACACCCAGTACTTGTTACTTGAAACTCCCTCACATCAAAACAGTAGCAATATCTGCATGGAAATGCGTCTGTGCTCTTGAATCTGCTCTCTTCCACTTCTATTGCACTGAGTTTCCATTCATGCTTTGTCACACAGAAGATAATTTTTTCAATGGCGACATTCATTATTTATCTGAAATGACTTCTGCTGTGCTAGCTCTCACCAGTCAGTGTTGTCTCTGCTCTGAAGCAAGATAAAGCTATGCATTGCCATTGCACTCGTTCAACTTCCTTAATTAAACCAATTATTTCTGAGGACTTTTTACTACACTTACATAGAATGCATCTTTACCTCTTATTTCTTGTTACAGATATTGAATTACTATTATATGGGTTGACAGAAATCCATGAGAGCTATGACAACGGGTGCCGTACCCGTTGAGGGAAGTTTCGTTGCTTGGAGAATAAGCAATGACCCAGTATTTTGCACCAAAGCCTTCCAACTTTGCAAAAGATATTTTATAAACAACCTGTGTACTTTAAATTCTGTTTTAAATAGTAGATGTAAAGCTTGTGATAAACAGACTGAAACAAATCAGTTATGCTAAGAAAAACCCCTGGCAGCTAAGATGGGAATTTTGATCTTTTATAAGATCGGCAAGGGACTTGCAACATATTAGTGGAGTAATTTGTTTAAAGATGTCTGATTGAGGAACCAGCCCTCATGTGAATACAGCCTAGAGAGACTCCTGCTTAGGCTATGAGTTATGCAGGGGACTGCCAGGCCCCTTGTCTTGCACTAGTTCAAGAGGGGGAGGTGTCAAGCTCTAGAAATCAGTTTGATGACACAGAAACTTTTGCAGCTAGGCAGCAGGTGCATAGAGGCCTGCTGAACTTCAAAAGCAGATAAAACAGGATGTATAGACACAGCCATTTAGCACTCAGAAAGCAATCACATAAAGGAAGAGGACAGCCACAAAGGTTCATATATCTCACATACCTGGGGAAAAGTAAAAGATCCGTGGCAGTTTCTACGTTGTTTGTTGGGAATGCAACATGAAGGGCTCAGAAGAGGCATTGCTTTACTTGAGGGTCTTATGTTGCCTTTTGTAGCAGGGACTGTGGCCAAGCCGCATCTGCACTTCTACCTGCTAAGGAAACCAGATGAATTTTTTTAGGCTCACACCACATTGTAAGCAAGGGGTAGGTAATGCATGCACAAACTTTGCATGAAAAGGTTAAAAAAAAGTCATCTCCAATATCAATAAATCCTATTGTAGCAGAGAAGAAGAAAGAAATATGGTAAAACAGTTGCATGAGGAAGGCAGGCATCTCTCCTGCCAGTCCATCATCCCCAGTGATGCTTAAGGAAAATGGGTACTGAGTATTAGTTTTTAGAATAGAGGAATTAGACCATGTTGTTATTTGGGCTGTGTTTTTTTCAGTGAAAACTAAAGGCATGGAATAACTAGCAAAAACAGACTTAGTTTAAAATGTGCATTGTTGGGTATTCCAAGAAAGGATTCATAGAATCCAAAGAACTTAATGAAAAATAATAACCACCACAGAGAACAATTTGCAATAAGTGAAACAAAGAGAAAATAATGAAAGCAAACTGGATTCAGTCTAATCTACTGAAACTCAACTCTTAGCTGACTGAGTACATGATAATAGAAATAATTAAAATTACTGATTGTATGTGGGACAAGAAAATAGCAATAAAGAGTCCTGAGCAGAAGAATGGGAGAAACAGATGTTTTTGCAAATATTGTGTGTTAGGCTCAGTGAGGGTACAAAAGTGGCAGAATATTTGAATATAAATAAAATATCTATCGTAAGCAGTGTTTCCAGTTCTTTCCATGGCTTTTGCTATCCTGTTAGTCAATTTTGTGAGAAATTTGCCCTTGGGCATACTTTTTGCCTTCTCTGTCACAATGCATCGATTATACTTCATGCTGTACAGTGACACTGGCTTGTGACATTGTTTTATGCCATATTCTGTTATTATTTATAAAAAAAATCCTATAAAACATGTTTTAGAGACAAAACAACTTTAACAAATTAAACCATGAGTTCTAATTCATAGTGAATGTTAATGCCTTATATTAGTCACTGCTAGGGACACTGTAGGATTATAGAATTCCAACATGTTTTCCCTCCACCCTGCACAATTCAATCATTGTATCTTCTAAGTCCATGGTGTGTGTCAGCTCATGCTCAAGAAGCCAGCAATGACAGAGAATTGAGATGCGCTTCCTTTTTGCATTCTTTATCAGCCTTGCTTAGGAGATTGAATATTCTTTACTGCAGTCCAGTAGCTGTGAAAACACAATTGAGTATTCAGTAAGCATCTAGCTAACGCTATTTATGAAAAAATAATTCAAAGAATGACTACAAGAGGACAGTGTTCAGCAGGAAGACTAAGAGTCAGAAAGCTTGGGTTGTGTAAGTGATTCTGCTATCTGCTGTTCTACTCATACCTTCTTCTGTATTAAGTTTCTGACATCGGGATAAGTATGAGGGAAATTACTCTGAAGATATATGTTGTGACAGATCATTATTGCCATCAGTATATGTCTTAGGAACACTGCAAACCAACTCTTTTGCCAGTTGAAGCATTTTTTATCGCTACAAGATGACTTTGCACTCTATCTCTTATTCTTCTATATTTGGAGGGAAAAGTACTTTCTTACTTTTAAAATACAACTGAATAAGGTATTGATAAAAGTATTACCTAAACTATGCCTCTCTACTCTGGGGAAAACATGGGTGAATTCGTTTATCAGAATATAGATCATGGTTTTTTAAGAACAGCATTTACATGGAAATTGTTAATGGGAAAACTTACCCATTCAAAAGTATAAATCCCACCCTCTGCAATCTAGAAAGCTTGAGGGATGTCCCTTTCTCTCCAGAGAAAGGCAGACTTGCTGGGGATGTGATCTTAACTGGTCTCTAATTTGGTAACATAGATCCCTAACATTAATAAATAGCAGCAAAGAGCCATGATGATGATTGATGGATGGGGGCATCTGCTATATGAAGAAACACTGTGAGCTGGGACTATTCAGCCTGCATGAGAGGCAGCACAGGGGGATCTAACCAATGTGTATGAATATCTGATGGAGAGAGTTAAAAAGTTGCAGCCACTCTTCCCAGTGGTGCCCAGTGCAAGACAAGAGGCTATCTGCATGAACTGAAATAACAGAAATTCCATTTGAAGATAAGAAAAACAGCTTTTTCCTTGTACAGGTGATCAAATGTAGGAACAGGGCATTAGGAGTCTCCAGCCTTGCAGATATTTAAAATCTAACCTACCATGCCCTGAGCAACCTGCTCTAGTCTGAGCCTGCTTTAGGAAGGTATTTGCACTAGGTGATCTCTAGAGGTCCCTGCCCACCTCAACTATTCTGTGATCCAGAGGCCAGAATTTATCATGCATTTTTTTAAAACTCCCAGAAATTTCCCAGGCTGAAAACAAAAATCAGACTTATTGCAGCTGTAAACTTTTGTGATACTTGATCTTTACCCTGATCAAGTCCTCAAGTTCATAACGAGACATGCAGACAGCACATTAATATCCTTTCCTTAGAGATAATAGCATCTCCTAAAAGAAAAATATTACCAAATACTGCTTGGGGATAGCAACTGTATTCAGTGAAGAGATACACAAAATGTGGATGAAGATGATGAATTTTGCTGACAATACATAAATAAATGTATTGCCTTTTCAATTAAACAAGGAAAAAATCCACAATAATTCATTCTTCCTTAGCCAGAGAACTCATGAGCTGTCTTGAAGGAAGATCTTGAAGGATCTGCTGTGATCTGCTCAGACATAGAATGGAAAGTTTCTTCATTCAGACAAGGCAAGAAGGGATGAGAGTGAGAGAGAGACTGAAAGACAAGGTGTCAAATCCTACAAAATTTGCTATCACAAGAACACGAGATAACTGAACAGTCTGAAACATGACACCCTAATGTGTCAGCTTCTATGGGATGTGTTACAGACTCAGCTTGCAGAAGGCTGTGTATCCTGTTATTTTTAAATAACTGCAACAGTAGCAGCAAGGCTAATTCATCACATTTACATAAGGCATCAACAGAGAGCAATGGTGCTGGGAAGATGATTATATTAGTCTGGAGTATTCAGAAAGTAACTGGTTGTTGGTGCAGTGGCCATGCTGCATGCAAGACCATACAGATTCCCTGGCGTGATCAAACATAAATGATCCCTTGTTTGGGAACCTGACCTTGGGCAGCACCTAGCTGTACCAGATGGGGTCAAGATCTGCAAATAAACTAGTTTTGCTCTATTTTTGCAAAATAACCTAAGGTCTTCAGATAAGATTGATGTATTCGCCTAAGTTGAGAATCAGTATGAGGATATTCTTTAACACAGTATTGAAGCTTGACCCTAGCTGTCTCCTTTGTACTGTGCCATCAGTGCCAAGAGAATGAAGAGTTATTTCAGCAGGTCAGCTGGAGATTTCTTTGATGTAGGCAGAGTTATGCCACCCACAGTCATTGGGAATATCGCAATGTGTGCCCAAAAGAAAGGCTCTGGGAAGGTGCAGCATGAATTGTGATGGTATAGCACAGCAGGTTCAGAACGATCTCTCCCATGCAGCACACTTTAAAATATCCCTTAGCTTCCCTGTGTGTTCTAGGGATCATCTTTGAAGAGAGGATTTTGGGGAAAGTCAGCATTAAGCTCACTTTTTTCCTTTTTTCACCATGCACTTAATATATTGTGGCTAGATCATAATGTCATCCATTCACATGAGCTTTCTATGCAGGTACTGTATATTAAGATACTTAATGAACAATTCTAATTCTATTGTTAGAAAATTTAGAGTACCCCAGATGTCTAAAGATGTCATATACATAATTTGATAACATGTTTAGATGGAATAATATTCTCTTGTTTTATGAAGATAAAAATGAACAGGTCCTTCATGATTGCTCTTTAACACAATGTACGATTCTACCTTAGCTACAGGAAACATTGGAAACAGCTAGTGTTAAAAATCTTTTTTACCAACTTTTTTGTTAAACTTTAAGACAGGAGCCCTGCTCTTTCTTTTTCAACAAATGAGTCTCATAAGACTATTGGGTAAAGCAGTTCAACTAGAATGATGTAATATCCAGGATGTTTCCAGGCATAAGTTCAATATGACTACATTGTTCCTTATTTATAAATATGTCACTTTTTACTGGCACAGCTTCACACATTCTTGATGAGAGCTGCTCTTTCCTTGGCAAAGCAACACAAATTCATTACACCACCATCACAAGATTTCAGTGAATAGAACCATCTTTCCATGACTCAAAGTTTTTACTCAGAGATAGAGCAGATTGAAGAGATAAAGCAAGGAAAAACTTCCCTGAAATATAGGAAACTAACTGCAAAAGACATAGATTTAGAAGGGAATAAGAAACGTATATTTTCTGTGGTGTGTTGTCTTATTTTGGAAAGAGTCAAAAATCTCTTGTGGGTTTGTCTCTGATCCCTTCAAATTATTTTGATGTATACTTGTATGCTTAAAATTATTTCTCCTCCCTTTTATTGTGCTGTCAAGTTAATGGATTCATGTGTCACTTTCTATTTTCATTACAATTTCTGTCAGGAGCATGAAAAACCCAAATGCCTTAGTAATTTGTAAACTACCACAATGTACTCTCTTTGGCTTGACCTTGTCATTATTGTATAACTTAATTGGCCAACTATTCCACTTCTTTTTCTTTTCATAGCCTTATTATAGTGGAAAATGAGAAGAGACTTGTCATTGACCAGTCAATCAAAAGTATACACCATTTAGAGATGAAAATAACAACCTCTCAATTAATTTCATAGAATTAACACTCATTATGATAAAAGTCTCCTGAGATAAAGATTGAGATCAGGACTAATAAGCAGACGTTTAGCCATTCCTCTGACAAAGCCTGTAATAAAATTAGGAAATGGAGCAGTTTAATTGAATCACAAAATTGCAGTTCCATAGTTTCCCCCTCAGACTAGAAGATATTTAAGAGACCCTCATTTTTCTCTGTACAAAGAATCATAGCACATCTCATTTTTGGTAGTTCTGTTGGCTGAAGTATAGATTTGGCTGTAATTTCAAAAATGTCTTTCCCAAGATACCTGATGACATTTTCACATTTTGGACTACCTCACTGATGGGAAGCATAATCATTTCACTATTATGTTGTTATTTCGTGCAATGGTTTTAGTTTTCCTCACACAGTTTCTATCTTTGGATGGGGTAATTTTAAACTTAGTAAGGAAAGGATAGTCTTTTTTTTCCTTTTTTTAACAAGTGCCCACAGGGTTTGCAACAAGATACTCCATGCTCTACTACAACAGTAACAATAAGAGAAATAAAATAATTAATAGATATGACATAAACCCGTGCTCCAGAACTTGCCATAAATCAGTGAGGTCTGGGAGGGGGAAAGCCACTGGGGAAGGCTGCCTTATTATTACTATGGAAGTATCAGAAACTAATAATTTAGTACCTGATTTAAGGTAACACAGGTTTCAAAATGAAAAACTCTTAAAGACAAACTTTTTATTTCTGTGAAAAGGAACACTTATCAAAGAATCAGTGATTATGACAAGAAAGTATAGTCAAATATAATTATGAATATTTGTTGGTCCGGTATTCTGGACAAATATTTATGATTAAATATTCTATTTGAAACTAATAGTTAAAATTGATTAAACATTATTATCATTCAATTAATTTTTTTCCCTCGTAACTTTACTTGAGACAGCTTTCTCTCCTACCTTGTAAAAAAACTGATGCTTCCCAAGATACTCACCAACACTTCACCTACTATTCTTTGGTCTTCACAGGCTACCTCTGCAGAAAGCCACAAGCAGAAGAGAGAAAATGGATGCAGTTGTGACAGCAAGTCAGCTGACCATGCCAATTGCCTGATGGATACCGGATTAGAGCACCCAGGGTAGGGAAACAGTGATCAGGTAGGAATTACCTTTTTTTCCCCTTCTTTTTGATCTCAAGTCAAAGAGCACAGATTTGAAATGAGAGCACGGCCTTTGGAAAATAAGCAACCTAAACCTTTCTGTCATACACTACAATAGTTTAAGATTACTAGGTTCCACATTATTCTTTCTCACTCGAACAAATCAATTTACTGCTTGACAAATAAGCACATAATGCAAAATGCCAACTTACAGATTGGTATCCTTAAAGAGAGGTTTTATTGGCAAAGGACCGTATTTCGGTCCTGCATTGCAGATCTCAGGGCAGAAAGCTTTGTTTATACAGGATATGTGACCAATTATATCTGGTACACTACAGAGAAACTACAGATATGGTCCAGTAGGACTGGAAATGTAAGTATTCAGTTTGTCATGCCCAAACCAGAAACAAAACTGTCTGATTGGCCACAGGCATGTCAGAATAGTTATAAGAGATGTATAACAAAAGTTTAAAAAAATTTTAAATAGAAAGAGTTTTTACTATCTTGAAATGCAGGAGTCTCCAGTGCTCTGTGTCTAGAAATTTTAAATAATTAGCCAATTTTGATTATGGTGTTGAGGATACTTAGAAAAATTAAAATCTCATTGATTAAACTTATTAAAGTTGCATTCCAAAAATCTAACAATAACTTAATAGGAAGACAGGGGAAAAAAATCTGCCTTTAATATAGAGGTTCTATAACTGTTTTGAAGAGTGTAATTAAGGTATGGGAGGAAGGCGAATAAGTTAAGCTGTGTCTTGAGTGTTGTCTCTTCTGTTGTATCGGTATAGTATGGCTCTAATATAGAAAATGCGGTCTAAATTTCAATAATTCATACTCTTTTTCATTAGAAAACAAAAAAGTCAATTTAAAAACTTGGTAAAGTTTTATGAAAACCAGAGCCCCACAATAACTTTGACTCTGAGTTCCAAGGTAACAACCATTTCCTTGTCGTTCTTTTTCTCAATAAAAACAAATTTTAAAATTTAAATCTTTCAAACCTGAAGAGGCCCTGCAAACAAACAGGAGTATGCAAAGCACTGTTCCAGGTTGGATGTCTGTCATTCAAATCACTGTCATGCCACAAGCTACCTCGATATAATCAGAAAGGAAAACAGAGATAGTTAGATGGGTTTACAGGATGATGTCTGTATGAGTGACAGATGTTTGTGCTCTAACAACATTATGTTTTATTATAGAACAATTGCTTCTAATAGCTTTTACGTTTATGTTCAGGGTGTTGCAAATTCACGTCCATACCTTAAAAAAAAAGGAAAGAAAATAGCTGAGAAATACTATGTATAAATTAGTTCCTCCCCTTCCCCAAATAAAAGCTTTCTTTTTTGCCTTTTTTTTTTTTTCAATAGAAAGTAATTTGGGCAGCTGGTGAACTGTGGAGCTCACCAATCTATGAGTTCTCAAAAACACACAAACTGTGTCTTCATGGTTCAAGGAAGAACCGACATTACGCCCAAAAGGATTATCAATCACCAACTGCACAATATCATCTGTTGTAAATTGGGAGCCTGATTAATAACAGTGATTCAAACATAGTCCTTGAAAATTGTGAACTTTATTGACTGACTGGACTGGTGACTTTCTCTTTTCATGTTGTTTGCTCTCAATTTGTGGTGCTTTCAGTTACCGATACTGTATACTACTATTTCTGTTATGATTGTTTTCCACATTATAGAAAGTCAATAGTGAAGTGCCAGGTGAAGCAGGTAAGTTTTTCATCAATCGTGTATAAGACTTGTTGCCCTACTTTTGATTTTTTTTCCTTATTCATCGGCGAATGTACTGCACCTCTGTTTTCCTCTCTTGTCATTGTGGGAATATCTAGAAAACAAGGGGAATTTTCTAAACCCACTAATAAAACAGACTTCGAAGTTGTTTGCCTTTTTAGAATTCAATACTTTTTCCTAAAGTATTGAATTAATATTTTTGGAGGAGTTCTTTTTTTTAAAAAATAATAGTTTCAGAAAGGTTGATTTCCATATTAGCATACACATATAAATTACTTTTAACCTGACTTCAAGTACATTGAATTTTGTATATTTTTCAAGTGATAAAGTCAACCTATGGCTGAAGAAAGGGACCTTGGTTTCCTATACCTCAATCATCCACTACATTTTAAGAGCTCTTTGAAAAGGAGCAGGTCCCACTTAACCTGTTTGAGGTTTTTGTTGTATTTAACTTGATATGTTCTGTTGTTAACTTGGTATGTTCTGTTTTTAAATCCATCCTATTTACTTAGTCTCGTCTTGGGAGTATACCACCAAATTTCTCTCTTGGCTGGTTTGGATGATCTAGACCTTGTGTCCACAGGATTCCAAAAAAACATTTTTCAAAATAATCTGGCAGAGATGACCCTTGCTCCTGAGGTAATATATTCAAACTGTTTAACCTGTTAAGGAAGTAACACACTCTGCAGAACCCCTTGTAATTATGAAAAGTGCAAGCCCGTTTGTTATCCACAGAGCAACAGTAAATCTATCCTGTAGGTACTTTATTCCCTAGATCAGCTTCACAACAGCCCAACTGTGGAAGCTTTATTTTTTTATGTGCTTCTTATGTTAAAGAGAGAATATAAGTTAAGACTGTTACCTGACACAATATTTACTGCCACAGTTTTTAAAACTAGTGAACATATCACTAAAACCTTGCCGTGCACAAAAAAACCCAAACCAACCACTCAACCAAAATAAAACCAAAACCAAAACCCGCAGACCAAGCTGCATCTAATTTAGCATCATAATAACTAAATTAATAGATAAATTTGAGACTTTCTGACAACCAGAGCTCATGAATGACAGTTGGCACCAGTCTCTTGAAAAAAACCTTTAGAATCATGACCTGGTGGCAAGGTGTACCCTAAAAGTAGCAAAGCAGGTACTGGAGCAGCAGCCAAAAGTCCATATCAATTTTGCTGGAAGGTTAATGACATGTGTCCATGAATGACTTTTATAAAACTAAAATTGGTTTAGCATAGATCATCCCTGTTATGTTCAGTTGCTAGATACTATTTTACTTGTGAAAACTTAAAGGCTCAAACTTTGTTACTATTATATTTAAATAAGATTTGCCTTTTTCCTAGTTAGACAAGTTATTTTATCACTTAGGTGATTTGAAAACAGAGTCTGCTGAAAAGCAACACCCACACAATTGAGAGTGTAATGTAATCACCTCAATTTTGCAAGTGTAGTTGCTTTCTGCATCAGCTGTGTTGCTGCAAGATGGGAGGAGCTGGGGTCTGTGCATGGTATCAGCATCACAAAACTGCTCTGCCCACCTATTTTGCCTGATAGCCCCCAGAACACATCCTGAGGCTTTATCCTGGCATCCTATTTCTGCCCTCCTCCAGCCTTGACAGGACTCATCCCAAAACCTCCAAGGCTGGTGTTATGATGGATTGACTTTGGTCATATATTCTTTTCTTTATTGAAATAGAAAACAAATACCTAAATCTGTATGACATCTCTATTGCTGTCCTCCTCTAACCTAATCACAGCAACTCATTACATCAGAGTTTTAGAAGCATAGCTCTAGATTACAATGCCTGTCAGTTTTCAAATTATGTTTTATAGCTTAGTGTTAAACCTCTTCCAGAGGCATGGTTAAAAGACAGTTGTTGACACGCCACAAGTTAACACAGAATTTCACAGGAAGGCATTACAAAGGCACACATGGTACAAGACTGTATAAGACTGTATAATAGAACCCTGTAATTATTTAAGAAACACTATTGAAGGACCTTTACCCACTGGGGACTCAATTGTGAGCAGACTCTCCCTGTGTATCAAGCTCCTCAGTGAAGCAGTGGAATAAAGAGAGAATAAAAAATGCTGAGTGCCTCACTGATTTGTGGAATCTACTGGGAAGAGAGAGAGGAGCCCCAGGGATCTGTAGAAACTCCAGCAACTTTTAAAAGCTACAACAGAGAAGTTTGCTTTTTCAAAAATTCAGATCCATTCCCAGGAGACTAAAGGGATGTCTTCCTTGGAAGAGCACTTTCTTCAGCAGCAGGAAGCCATTTGCACTCCAGCAAAGTGAAATACGGACTAGTGTGCTTTATGAGGAGGAACATTTGTCAGGGAGAAATTGTTAAAGACACATTCTCAAGAGTGGCATTCAAAAGAAGTGAGACCTAGAAGCAGAAGTCTTAAGAAACCTCAGTACAGCAGCAAGGACATATCTAGGAAAATATAATTTGCTGGAAAATATTCCCAGATGTGTGGCATTTTGAGCAAAGAGCTAAACTTTATGGCGAACCCTATAGCATCAGTGATTTAGAATAAGATTCAGTGCTCCCTTGAAATCAGTAGGAGATTTCTGCTGCATTCAATAGGCTTTGTTTTGCACCCATGTGGAATGGAAAATTCAGAATGCAATTTGTATCTTAAGGTATGCAGTCAGGGGAGGAAATGCACTGCATGCAACAAATCAATCTGCATCCAGTCCAGCTGCCGCAGAAGAAGGAAAAGATATAGCCAGAATGACAGCAGGCAAAACATCAGGCATCTATGGACAGACAAGCAGGTGGGCAGCATCCAGGCAGAGTCATTGCCAACGGCTGTCCAAGGAGCACCAGCCAACATCACAGACCTCCAGAAACAGAGCAACAGAAGCATGGATAAATGAAAAAAGTAATATATTTTAATACAAGCAGCCATACACTAGCTAGCATGACAAATCAAGGGGGCCGGGGTCTATTCTGGCAAGATAAAGATTGAGGATGACTGGACCTGCCCTACTCTGGGTGCCATTCTGGTAGTATGCTCAAGGCCAGGGTATTTCAAGTCCATAGCAGGGTGGCTTAAGAAAGCCATCTCTTCTACCTCTTTCTGAAATGTTAGCGATTAGGCTGGCACTACACAGAAGTTCCCAGTCTTGTATTGCCACTTGGGTGCTCACTTTTAACTCAAGGCATCTACTTGTATCCACTGCTCACTGAGGAACACTGAGTCATTGAGTCTCTGGCATGACTTGAGTGAAGAAGTCTGGAGGCTGCAGGTTGGCTCAACTGGACATGCTGTGGCAGGAGCTTGGCAGAGCTCTTTCACTCTCTAGTTTATTCAGGGATGTTTCTTCCTCCTCACTGCTCCTCCAGGAAGCCTTGACCTCCCTGCTGTGCTCTCATCTCTTAGCAGTCACACACAACCACCACCACACAGCACCAGTACTGGCTTTAGAGGGAAATATAAAGCAGACGGTTCTGTACTTGTCACAGTGAAAGAAATTCACTGCTATGTAGACAATACCAGCAGTATCATTAAAAAATACCAACAGGGACATTTACATTTATCCACACGGCTAGCTTATAGCAACAGGTTTAAATGGGACTGAAGTGACATCCCACCTGAACATTCAGAGCTTTAACGGAGATGCATGGACAGCTTTCATTTCATGGCTATTTGTGCCATGTGGGGAGTTATCATTGCCCACATTTCTGTGTAAGTCTAATTTATTTACGATATGCAGTAGGAAATATTCAGCTTGGCAATTCTAATATGCAGTCCCCTACAGTTCACGCAGTTCATTTTTTTCTAACTGGCTGGAGTTGCCCTCCTGCTGTATTAGCCTGATACTGCCCTCCTGCTGCTCTGTCCACCTGCTTCAAATTTATTTCCAAACTGCATCACTACTGTAGGATCTTCTCCCCAAGGGGAGCGACTTAATAGGGTTACTCTTCTTGATGTACTCAGATTCTTCTGCACTAAGATTTGACTACTGACTATGCATTTTTTTTTCATTTTCCATTCGTCAGCTGAAGATAAAAATCCTCCAGCGAAAGGAAGATGCCTTAATGGAAGATACTTTAATCCAAACCCTGAAATAGGCACATAAGAACATGAGTCACATGCTATTACAAGTTATGATGTAGTATTTATTTCTTCTCAATATAAGAAGCAATTGAAAAATATACCATGTAATTGTTTTGAAGTAGATCCCAAAGTAGACTAACACATAAAATGGCTTCCCCTTTTCCCCTTCTGGAGCAAACCTGTAAATTTAACAGAAAATGATAACCTATAAAATATTTAAACCATTACATAGAATAATATCCCTGTTATAGAATTCCATTGAACAGTTTAAGCAATTTGTAGACAGGAATTACATCTTTATTAAACCTTACACAGGAATTTCTACACAATCTTACTGGTTTCAGCCTTATTAAATTGTATACCACCCTTCAATATGAGACTGAAACACCTCCAATGCTTCAGATATCCTTTCACAGGTTACAAACGTAAATTTGTTGCTACCTTCTTTTCTTCTTCTAACCTAAATTACTCTACAGCGCTTTGCAAACTCTTACAGATTTGCTGAGAAAACAATTCCTCACTATCTCAAAATGACCATTTTTCCTTGTAACACATGTTGGTGTGCACACAGATGATAGAGGGAAAAGTTTCTTATTTTCAAATGCAACTGAATAAGCTCTTACTGGAAAATTAAGGATTTCTGGAGAGAATTCGGCAGAACAGATGTATGCTTTCCCCAAACGAAAAACACGCATCTGTTTCCTAGAAATCTAAACAATAACAGCAAAGCAGTCACACAAACAAGTTATGTTTAGGTTTTGTTTGTGGGGTTTTATTCTGGGTTGTTTTTTTTGTTTGTTTTGTTTTTCCTACAGATGGTTCTTATTTTTATACAAATGGGGAAAAAACCCACAGCGAAGTTTCTAAATGAAGCAATGAAATTCATTCTTATCAATGAAATTTAAATGGTTTGCAGGATAAAATTGTTCCAGACAAATCTGCCCAAATGTACCTAAAAACAGTACAAAAGCCTTCCTTATTAAAATGCTGCCTTTCAGCCTCCTTGCTTCCATTTAGTCACAGTCTGATCTCCTTATCAATTCATTT